TGTGCGCCCAGCATTAGAGCAGCAATGTTTGTTCCCCTCAGAGAAAGAAAAAAAGGCTGCAAAAGTACAGGGAGGAATGGGAAAAGGAAAACACCTGGCTGGAAAAGTTACTATGGGCATGTGCAGTGAATATCAGCGCTATGTGGCCAGAAGTGTGATAATATAACTTATTTTGTGTAATAAACAACTGCAAGGATAGATGATTACAACAAATACATGACTAATACATAAAAGTAATACATAGATGAATAATGATGATGAGTTAAGATGCGTAATCATGGGAACAAGCGGGTTTACAAACAGGAGCAGCTGATTAGCATTAGAAAAGCTGAAATAATACCTCAGCTGTAGCCAATTGTACTAAATGCACTATATGTGCACTGTTACAAGAATATTTTTCGTTCTATTGTTTTCTATTATTTTAAGTTAAGCAGGACAGAGTTCTTTTAAAGAAAGATTTACTTATATTCTCAAAAGTTAAGCATGACAGGCTTCTGTTTAAGAAAGAGACCTGTTTTACTGTGTTAATGTTGTCATTTTGAGCTAAAAATAAATGGCTAAATGATCATTTGTTTCCCATAAGGTCATATCACAAAGAATAGAATATGCATCTACTTAAATCAACTTCAAGTCAAATAGTTAAAAAAATAATTTCACACACAAACAAAGAGCTAGAAAATTCACCACACTGGGAAGAGTGAAGACAACTGGGTTGCCCGGCCCTGGCCACGAGGTGTCCCTTATTTATTTTTCAGGGAGTTGGCAACCCTATGTTGAAGTATGAAGTATGAAAATGGAGCACTGTAACAAAAAATAATTTCCCCCAGGGATCAATAAAGTATTCTGATTCTGATTCTGATTCTGAAGTATTGTGTTTTGAATGAGATCGTGATGTGAACGTGATCATGCTAGGCTAATGGGCTGGCTAGCGGGGGAAGTGAGCTTCAAGTACCGTAGCGATGCTAAGGCACGTTCTCAGTTGTGTGTTCTCTATATGTCTTGTTCAAGTAAGACAGCATGCAAAGGCTGTAATTAATGCTTCCATAGCTGCTCATGTGCTGTATATCAATGGTTGTTTGCTATTCACGGGCTGTGAGTTACAGTACATTGTATTTCTTGATGCAGTGTAACCGTATGTGTAACCGGAACAAAGGCTGAGGCAACCTGGTCACTGCGAGCCAATGTTATCTATATTTATGATGGTTAATGTATACTCGCCAAGGTTATTCCTGTACTTTTGACAATACGCTGACAGCTGTTATGCCACGTTACAAAGAATTGCTGGTTCGTATGAGAGGCGATTAATGATTTGTTCCCCTGTTGATGAGCAGAATAAATCCTGCAGTTGAATCGTAAACAAGTTCATGATCTGTGCCTCTTTATTTCAATACACAGCTGCGGGATCTAGGATCGCACCCCTCCCAGGCACCTGTCACACCAGGGGGGCAACACATACACAAATCTTTTTTATGCACACACAAATTCTTTTTACACATACAAATTCTGATTTACAAGTACAAAATATTTATGACCACAATTTGAGCCCATACTACTGTGTCTCCGGTGTTCTGACAAAACGTCCGGTCAACTCTGCTGAGCTTAAATGGAATATCCTGCTGCCTGATGGGATGTACCACTGTGAGAGGGGTGCTATGGAATAGTGCATGTGGTAGCAGCTTTAATTTCCCGCTCAACCATAAATCAATGGTTTTCAATGTGATTGTTGTCACATTGTCAACTATAAATAGATTAACAATCAACGAGTGAACAACAGTGAATCAATGTTATGTCAATGTCAGGTTTCATCAGTATTTTAATGTTGTTTCAAAATTGATTTTGCATTGAAATTTCAATCCTAATGATTCTGATGGATCAGATGTAAAATCAACATCAGTTAAATGTCTCCTGGCTATCTGGGTTATATATGATGTTTAACCGCAGTAATGAAAGATTGTAAAACAGGGTTTGAAAACGATTTGCCGGGAGTTCGCTGTTCTCGTCGGTCCTAGTGAGCCTTGAACCACGGCTAGCTATCGAGCTGGTGGGTAACAGACGTCTCTGAAAACGTTGAAGCATTTTTGCAAATATGCAATGTCTTGATAATCTGAGCAGATATTTGAAGTTTGCACAGCTACATTCTTGCTTGAAAATATGCTAAAAGTTTATTTTGTGACCCAGAAAGAATAAGAAGAGTCATATTAAAACTAAGTAGCTGCTGCCATTGTTGGAAACTGGAATTGGCTGGGCCATGCTATGAATTCTGGGATGTGGTGGGCCATACGATAACCATGACAACCATGTCATCGGGTAACATGGCAACCACATTAATCCCTGAACGCAAACCTAGAAAGTGTTCCCAGCAGAACGAGAGGCACTAGGGCTGGGCAAAACGATTATTTTCCTAATCGATGAATCTAGCGATTAATTTTTCAATCCGATTCGATTTCGATTCGATTCGATTAACGATTTTTTTTCCCCATTATTTGACTTGTATAGCAATTTCACATTTACTAATTTATGTATATAAATGAAAAACACAAATTTATTCATTTGAAGACCTTTTAATAAAAAATAAAAAAATTGCAAAATAAAGTTGTAGAGGTCGTACAATCAATACAATAGAGATAGCATTTAACAAGAAATGAAATGTGCAAACATATATAAAATTAAGGAAAAGTTAACAAAACATTTCAAATAAATAGCAACAGTGGTGTCTTTAAACAAACAAAATGTAACATTCACTTTGCTTTCTGCCAAAAAGTGCTCTTCATTCACAAAACAAAATCCACAATAACATTGTACTACAATCTTCTGTTTTTAACAAAAAATTAAATGTTTTGCAAAACAAATATAACAAAGGAAATCATAGCAAAAAATTAATAATATACAAACAGCAGCAATGGCGTCTTTGAACAAATAATGAAATGACAAGTTACCCCTAAGTAGGACTCTGTGACCAGACTTGTCCAAGCATCAGTGGTAAGGGAGATTTTGGATGTGGCTTTTTTTAGTTCTTTCCTTAGTTTCTCCACTGAAGTTTCATACTTTCTCTCCATCATGCTTGTAAAATGACGCTTAGACGGCAGAGTGTAACCTGGTTGGAAAGTGGTCAGCATTTCTTTGAATCCCTCACCCACAGCAAGTGGTCTCTTGTCTTTTAAAATCATAGATAAGACCCTCTCAGTAAGTACAGCCACCTCCTGGGGGGTGCATGGTGTACTTCTTCTCTGACAGTAGTCCTCCAGACTTTTCTGTTTGTTCCTAAAATCATAAATCACACACAGCACACATATGAATTCGAATAATTACAAAATAATTATATGGAAAGCATAATATCAAAATAATTTGATAAGGATCTGGTTGAGATAGATACACACATACTGTTATGCCATGTGCTTTCATAGCATAACAGTAAGAGGTTAATAATAATCCCCAATGTTGAACATATGATATGCAGTAATCATGATGGCTGGAAAAGATAACGTTTAAACAGCCATAGCTGATGGCACTTTTACTGGTGCACTGCTTTCTAGTCATTAGATGGCATAACTTGGACCTATAAGATCAAGCTGGAGAAGCATTATGTATAAAAACAGCGTTCAAATAGGATGAAACACATTAAATTTGACAAATCAAGAGTTCATTGTCATTTTGCTTTTGCAAGCACTTTAACAATGTTGTAATAGTGTCCACGACGGCTACGTTTAGCAGGTGGTGCATTATCCTTGTTAACATTTCTCCTGCGGCCAATTCGCTGTCTCACATTTTTGTCTTTCGCCGATTCTGATAATCAGCCTGCGTGCATTCAGACTCATTTCGCCAGCATGGGCCACAAACCAAAAAAACAATAACTAAACAGCAGCTGCTATATGTTACTGCTAAGCAGCTTAAATGAGTTTTGCATTTACGGAGGTTGGGTGTTTATCTCTGTGTCTATGAGTGAGTGTACGTCTACGTGGGGGAGGGCGGTCTGGATGAATTAACGGGTAAAAACTAGCGTTAGTAAAAAAGTTGAAAACTTACGGTGGTTTGTCCTTTGCAGAAGCTGCTCCTGGATGCCGTCGTTTGAGGTGCTGGTGCATAGCCGTCGTGCTTTTATGATAGGCCATTTCCACCTCACAAAGCCGGCAAACGACTGAATCACTTCCTTTTCTGTTAAAATATCCCCATACTGTAGAGCTGCGTGTTCGGGTGGAGTGATTTAAGTTGACTGCAACTGCCTCATTCATGATTCCGCTACTCGCTGCCGCCATGTCTTTTTTTGAAAGTGACGACGCATCGACGCAGATTTTTTTACGTCGACGTATTTTTTGCGTCAACGTAATCGATTACGTCGACGCGTTGTCCCAGCCCTAAGAGGCACAGCACCGCCCTGCAGCGTGTCTCCGGGCTGCCACGGTGAAGAGATTAAACATCACACAACGCCATTATATTATACACACACACACACACATAAAGTTTTATGCGCCAGAGGGAATGTTCGCCCAGGACACCAAACAGGCTAGGACCGCCACTGGTGTTGGAACAAGCCTCTGCTAACGGAAACAGTTTAACACAACTTCCACTCACGTCCTTCACAATAAGAGCTCCAGTCTGAAGGCTGCACCCGGACAGCTGTCGTTTACATTTCTTTCAGCACTAATAACGTGAACCATCATTATTACTGATAAAAACACGTCGATGATCTGCTACACGTGACGCACACGGCACGTGGCGTGTCCCCGTGCTTTTATTTTGAAGGCGTCGTCGTGTTTCCTGAAGAGACGAAAGTAAAGAGCACTCCTCAGTAACTTCGTCAGGTCTCCGCGTCCTGCTGAGTGTGTGTGTCACAGTGTTACACACACACTCAGCACTGCAGGCACACCTGTTCAGGTGTGTGAGGAGCTTCCTGTCAGACTGAAGCAGGTGTGTGTTCACACTCATGTTCCTGAATCCATCGCTCTGCTGCTGGAGGCTCCTGCACGCGCTCAGTTTGGACTCACCTGGGCTCGTGCTCACACATGGATCCTGATCCAGGTCCAGACCTGACTGTGGTCCTCCTGGGAAACTGTGGAGTGGGTAAAAGCGCTTCAGGAAACACGATTTTAGGCCGAGCGGCGTTTGAGTCAAAGACGTCCTTCAAGGCGGGAGAGAGCGAGATCAGAGAGGAGGCGGGGCGAGTGTTCGGGAAGGTGATCCGCGTCATCGACACTCCGGGAATACTGGGACGAGAGGAGCCCGTCGGGAGGTGCTGTCGGCACGTGCTTGAGTCCCCCGGCTCTCACCTGTTCCTGTTGGTGGTTAAAACGGACCGATTCACTGCCGAGCAGGAACGTGGCGTGGAGGCGGGGCTCGCAGCGGTGGGAGGGCGGGGCTTCAGCCGCTGTTACCTGCTCTTCACGGGTGGAGATGCCCTGAAGAACACGTCGCTGCACGACTTCATCTACCAGGACCGGCAGAGTCCGCTCCCTGGTGTGGTGGCGAGGTTCTCCGGGAGGGTTCACCTGTTCAACAACGAGGACGCAGGAAGAGAGCAGGTCCGAGAGCTGCTGCTGAAGGCGGGGCTTCTTCACTGCCCACCAGGTAAGACAGGAACTGCACGCTCACACAGACTGTACACTGAAGATGGTCACATGTTTGTGTCTGTGTCCTGCAGCTGAGTGTGTGGGGTCAGAGGTCAGGAGGATCCTTCTTATCGGTCCTCCTGGAGGCGGGAAGAGTTCTGCTGGGAACTCCGTGCTGGGCCGCCGCCACTTCGAGGTGGACTGCGACTTCCACGGAGGAGGGAGAGGACACACGTGCGGCGAAGCAGAGGGGGGGCGGGTCTCTGTGGTGGACTCGGCGGGACTCTCGGGTGAAGGTCTGACCCGGGAGCAGCTGCTCCGCGACATCGAGAGCGCCGCCCGGCTCGCCGATCCGGGACCTCATGTGGTGGCGGTGGTGGTGAAAATCGGCCAGCTTTCAGCCACAGACTCGCGGGCGCTCACCCTCCTGACCGAGCTGTTGGAGGGCGCGGCATCCCGACACGCAGCTGTGCTGTTCACTCACGGAGACGCTCTGGGAGACCGCCCTCTGCAGGACGCGATCAGGTCGAGCCGCCGCGTGTCAGACCTGGTGTCCCGCTGCCGGGGGCGACACTGCGTGCTGGACAACACTCGCTCAGGAGAGCGGGCGCAGGTGGAGCGCTTTCTCCGCCTCGTAGACGACATCATCAGAGAGAACGATGGACACCACTGGAGCCGGGACGCACTGAGGTCAGGTGACTTGGAGGACACTTCCTGTTCGAACAACGTTGTCGAGCATGCGCTCGCCGCGAGGACTCCTCCCTCTCTGCTGAGCGTGTGCTGGCGCCTCCTGTGTCTGAGCGCGCTCTTTGTGAGGCGTCATTTCCACTGGATTTAACGGTGACAGATGAAATCTTTGGGTCGTGTCTGTTGTCATGAATCAAACCAGTAAAATAAGATGTCTGTCGGCTTTGATCAGGAACTCCTTCACGTGAACTCGTCTGTGCTGCCGGCGGTGATCGCTGGTCTCGGTTTCCAGTATTAATAATAAACATCACGTTTGACTCTTTATTATGTACTTATTAGTTTTTGGTTGGATTAAGTCTGATATTCATTAGATCAGTGCCTCTTTAGTCATTAATTAGATTATTTAATATTAACGGTTTAATTGAATCATCGTCTCTGCTGGTTTTTGTTCATGTTTCTAGCAAACTATGCCCGTTATGTTTATTGCCTCATGTGTTGCAGCTTAATCTTTTAGACGACATTCTGGCTGCAACAGCTGCCAATAATTTACTGCAAATATGAACTTTTGAATAAAAAGAGCTGCAGCTCTTCTGTGCTTTGTCAATAGGAGATGGTAATCAAGCTCATTTGAATTGTATTTTAACAGGTTTAAATTATATTTGTTTTATTTCAATGTAATTCTGCAAAAACCAAAGTTCACTGAATTTTAATTCAATTCAATTTTATTTATATAGCACCAAATCACAACAAAAGTCACCTTAAGGCGCTTCATGTTTTACATTTCTCAACAAACCGTTATATATTCTACATTATCACTGTATTTCACTGTAATATTCAACTTTTTACTATGATACTGTATTATTTTATACAGTCTCTCTATATTTAACAAAGTGTTAAAACTGTTGTTTTCACTTGAATTACCCATAAACAATTTTACAATTTATTTTTAAATTCATAGTCATTTACTGAAAAAAATAAAATAATTATTTACTGTGAAATTTATGGTTGCCAAAATAGTTTTGTGTTCTACATTTACAGTTTATTTTTTACAGTGATTTCTACAACAGCGCAGGGCAGATCCTTTTAGGCCAGCATGTGATAACAGGATGTCACGGTCGACCGTGTCAAAAGCTGCTGACAGGTCCAACAATAAAAGGGCAGCAGGGCTGCCAGAGTTAAAAGAATATCATTAAAAACCCTTAAAAGTGCCGTCTCGGTGCTATGTAGTGTTTTAAAGACAGATTAACATTTTTCAGAGATGTTCAAATCAAGGTGGGTTAGGGTTAGGGGTTATTATAATAATATAATAATCCATTATTATTATTATTAAATAAGTCGTCAGCTGACGTTTCCTCTGCACAGTGAAGCTCCTCCACTTTAGGCTGAACGGTTTATTACAGCGGAGATTCTCCACTCCGAGATCTCACTGTGATTGGATAGTGAAGCAGCAGGTGTGGCAGGTACAGCAAACTGAGTTTCCGGTAGGGCATTTCGCACCTGTGTTAAACACAGTCGGTGTTTCCCTGCACTGGTTAGGTAGAGGCGAGCTCTTTCCAGAGTTTGAGGATCCGGACTCGGAGCTGAAGTTGTCCGGCAGAAGCAGCAACAAGCGCAGATGGCAGCGAGTGTACCGGCAGGTGAGTCGGTGGGCTTTATTTTACCTGCGGATACCGACAGCGTCAGGATCCGGAGTTTCTCGCTGAGGGAGAACCTGTTAGACCAGTGTTGTGCCAGAAACTGATTTCCAGTGTTTCCGTGTGTTTTAATGCGTAACGTCTTTACTTTATATTGGTAAAGAGACGTTAGTGGACAAGATTTACAAAGCGGCTACATTATAACCAATCCGGTCCTTTTTGGTCACTTAAACTATTGTTGTATTTCTCTGCTGTCCTCTTGCCCAGTTTCCTCCCAAAAAACACATTTTTAATGCAATTTTAATTTTTTACTAGATAAATAAAGGATATATAAAAGTCACAGAACAAATATGTAGTTTTTACCAGATCATCAGTAAGAACTCTTTCATTTATCTGTGTGTCTGAATAGTGGGGGCAAGGAGAAACAGTAAGGACGAACCTGTGAGCTGTAAGTCCAGATGTTTGTATAAACACACACAGCTGTCGCTGAACCTGAGATAAAGAGTCAGTTTAGGGAATCAAACAGTGAGCTGACATGTGTGTCTGTGTTCAGTGAGGCTGGTTCTGGTTGGGAAGACTGGAGTAGGGAAGAGCTCCAGTGGAAACACCATCCTGGGAAAGGACGTCTTCAGAGCAGCAACTGGTTCTGCCTCAGGTAACACACACACACACACACACACGAGGGTGTCTAATAATATGAAGGTCTCTGTCTGCACAACCGAAACAAGGACTAAGAAACAGAAGGTCGCAGGCAAAGGTGCAAGAGCAGTTTTAAATCAAGATCAAATCTAAAGAAAGTAGAAGTGCTGCCTCTCTCCTAGTAGCTGTACCTGTGGAGATACTAGGTTATTTTCAGAAAAGTTCCCCTTTGACCTTGAGTTCAAGGTCAGAGAGATTCAAATAGGTCCAAGATCACAAAAAGCTTATGCTGGCTTGCTCTGGAGTTATCACATTCACAAACTTGGGCATTCACACCACCCGCCTCCACCTGTGGCCAGGCCTCTGGGATGGATGAGACTCTGCCTGAGGGCCTTAAGGCTCTGGATTTCCTGGTTGAAATGCGTCTGTAACTTCTGGAAGTTGTGGGTGATGCCTCTGGACCAGAAGATTGGGTGGTGGTCCCCCCGTTCAAGAGCAGGGATCAGTGAACAGTGATTCTTGGTCCACACTGTTCATTCCTGGTTGGAGTAAAGTTAGAAGACTTTAAGTAAGGCATTACTGACAGTTCAACAGTTGGAGGCTTTACCAGTGCATAGAGCTGAGCACGGAAGCTGGTCGGTCTGCATTCCTGTCCTCACCTGTGGCAACGAGCTACGGGCCGATACAAGCTGCAGATAAGGACTAAAGATGGCACGATTTCACTTTTTTATGTCCGATACAATATCATAAATCTGGATATCAGCCGATACCGATATAAATCCGATATAGCGTTTTTTATAATCAATCAAACTGTTTTTTTAATATCTTGCTACATTTTGTATAAGTTCCTACTCAAGTTAAGATAAACAACAACACTAAAGCTATTCTGTTAAACCTGTTTGTAAAAAACACACTGCACCCAAAATATGTCATAGTTCAGCAAAACTGATCAATCTAATAAACTTAAACCTGCTCCATCCTCCCTATTCTGGTATTTTAAAGAGTACTTAGCAGAAATATTAAACAACCTGACTAATAGGGTTGCAAACGCCCAGCAAACCCCCCCCCCAAAAAAATGACGGAACCACCCCCACCCTCCACCTCGTGATGCTTAACTGATGAAATCAACTTTAATTTAATGCACATGTAAAAAAAAAAAAAAAAAAAAAAAAAAGGCACATACATAAATTATTTTTCAAGAATAATTAAATAGATTCAACATCTTTCTTCAGCAGAACTGCAGACTGCACAGATGGTACCCAAAGGAAAAAGTAATATAGCTTACCAGGGTATATTAGACTTAACAGTTACTACAGTAATGGACTTCTATACATTTTACATCAGATTAAAACTTTGGGTGTAAGATTCAGATAATTATTTATTAAAAGCTCGACATTTTAAATGAGAATAAGAAAGAAAAGTATGTCTTTGTGCCCCCTTTTCCCTGTTCATGCCCTATCGGCCCCCCTGGCTAAACTTTGCTAGATCCGCCCCTGCACAGTTACGTCAGCTGTAGAAAAAGATCCTCGAGTAGAAAGTAATATTAAATACATTCTAACAACAGCTGATCAAGCTTAAACGCGCTGCTGTTGTTCAGCCGCTGGTTTCCTCTTTCTGCTGCAAAGTGAACGATAAACAAACGAGAGACGATCAGCTGATCACTGATCAGTTTCATGATTGAAGCAGGGGCGATTCTAGGATCAGAGCTTTGGGGGTGCTGAGCACCCAGAGAGCTGCCCAGCCAGGCAAGATAAACCTGTCTCTGTCAGTCCCTGCGTCCTTAAATGTTGTCCCGAGTTGTCTCTGACTGTCTCCTTGGTGCATTTAAACCCCTGCTCCTCCCTGTCCTCACCGTCTGTTGTCTTCGTCTCTGTTATCAGTCATCATAATTTTACCATCTCTGTGCAAGTCTGCAAATTTCTTTATTAAATCATAAGATTCCTAAATTCATCAAGTCTCTCTGTGCCTGGGTCCTCGTCACAAAACATGACATCACTGTTTTGCACATTTTAACACAATTTAATCCCACATTTGTGAAAGAAAAGCAAAACACTTTTTTGAAAAGTCTGTAACAAAACCATCAAATCTGATCAAGGTTATTTAACTGCTGCCAAAGAAGAATGGATTGGAATAAAAATAAAAATACATATCCTAACCTTCATTACTGGGAGAATAATGAATGATGCTCACAGTGAGTGAAAAGTAAACTGAGAGCATTTTTTGGACAGAGATTCACTTTTAATGTGTTTGTGTAATATAATACAGATACATAAAAACACTCCCGAAACAGAATTATTACAAATAAATTATTACAAAATATTAATAAAAACTATAAAAATTGAGGCAACTTTGCCTGTGGTAGAATGCATGAAAAAATCTTTACTGCAGATGCTAATTTTGTGTTGTCAGATTTATGAGTTTCATGCTTTCATAGTGGTCCTTAGGAGAGCTTGACATTTTCTCAGGTGGTCCACACTGTAAAAAGTTTGGTTCTTCCTGACCTTGTTCTTTCTCCTCACGTTCCCTCTTTCCTCTCTCCCTCTTTGGACTCACAATCATACACAAATAGATTCAATTAGATGAAAAATTACATTAATATGAAAAAAAATTCTATTAAGATCACTAATAAAAAGTCCTCTCAGTGTTCTTTCAACCAAAAGGCAAATAACCAAACCACATAAAAGATGTAAACACTGAAACACTGATCCAACATTATTCTTGATTAATGGATCATTTGATTTTACACTTTTACCTGACGTGGCTCCTTTTTTTGGAAAATCTTCCTCATATCCATTATGAACCTGGCTGTCTCTGTACACACACACACACACACACACACACACACACACACACACACACACACACACACACACACACACACACACCAGGTGTTCTAAGGTTAATGGGCATCCAGTCAGTTAGTATTTAGTATTTATTTATTTATTGTCATTGTCAAGAACAATGAAATTGCGTTTGGGGCTTCCATACAACCCAAAAAAAGAAGAAAATAATAAATACCCCTTAAAACCCAAGTGTACATATTTAACCCAGTGTGACTCCAATGCAATAAGACAATCCTTAGCAATAATGTTCGTAGAAATTCAGACAAAGACCTGAGAAACATGACAAAATACAACAATGCAACCCATTCAATATTATTGTACTGTGAGATATGATATCAGATATGATAGTTATCTATTTAAGAAAGAGGGGGGGGCAGGAGGGGGAAGAGAATAAAGATATGATGCACCAATGCAGACCAGTTCATTGCTATTAAGAAGTTGGATATGGTTATTGTCCGTGAGAGGGGGCAGAGAGTTCAGGAGCCTCACAGCCTGTGGATACAGGCTGTTGGCCAGTCTGGATGTTCTGGCCTGTATAGACCTGTACCTTCTCCCTGAGGGCAGCAGATGGAAAAGGTGGCGCGCAGGGTGATGTTGGTCCCGCAGGATACTGTGCACCCTCCTCAGACAGCGAGTGGGGAAGATATTACTGATCTCTGGCAGACTTGTTCCAATAATTCTGCCAGCTTCTTTCACCACCCGCTGGAGTGCTTGCTGATCGGCCTTGGTGCAGCTGGGGAACCACACTAGAAATCCATACGTCAGAACGCTGCTGATGGCACAGTTGTAGAAGTTCAACATCAGAGATCTGGGAATGTGTGCGCTCCGCAGTCTCCTCAGGTAGTAGAGGCGCTGTTGGGCCTTCCGTGCAACTGAGGTGATATGGTTGCCCCAGGACAGGTCCTCGGTCACAGTTACCCCCAAGAATTTAAAACTGCTCACCCTCTCCACCGCCTCACTGCCAATGAAGAGAGGCAGATGGTTGTTATGACCCCTCTTAGTTAGTATCCATTTCAAACAGGACAGTGGTAACAACAGCAGCTACGGAATGGAATGCTTTACAAACATTCAGAGATGAACTTGCACACTTGCTTTACTTGTCTGGATACATTTCTCTGAGATTAAATGCAGGTTTGGTAGCGAGCCTCCAAATGCTCAACCAGACCGCTGACAGGTCTCGTCCGCCGCAGCCGCTCTATCGCCCTCCGACGTGCTACGGTTATGAGCTGAGTAACACCATGGCATACGTTTGGTGAGGTGCTTTTTTGATATTTAATGGATCGGATTACATTTGTTGTTTCTCTCCGATATCCGATCCAGTAATTTAGGTCAGTATCAGACCAATACCGATGCGTAATATCGGATCGGTCCATCTCTAATAAGGACAGACTGGAGCGTTTACCTCAGAAGAGCTGCCATGTGTGTCTATGCCATTTGTTAGAGAGTATATCATCTGCACTCTGATGAAGAGGGTGAAATGATTATTTATGTTTAGACATGCCAAGAGTTTCCATGAAGTTCACTTTTTTAAAAACAAGAGTCTAACTGATCTGTTTCCTCCTCAGTGACGGCTGAGTGCTCCAAGCAGCAGGAGAAGCTGTTCCAGAGGACCATCTCTGTGGTGGACACTCCCGGCCTCTTCGACACCACGATGTCTGAAGACGCCGTGAAGAGGGAGATCTCCAAATGCATCAACATGTCGGCCCCGGGGCCCCACGCCATCCTGCTGGTCATCAGGGTGGGACGCTTCTCAGCAGAGGAACGAGACGCCGTGAAGAAGGTGGAGGAGATCTTTGGAGAGGGTGCCTGGAGGTACACCATGATCCTCTTCACCCACGGAGACAAAGTCAAAGCAGACTTTGATCACATGTTGAAGACAGCAGGGACTGAGCTGCAGGAGGTCCTGAGGAAGGCTGAAAACAGATACCACGTCTTCAACAATCTCAGAGCCAACGACCGTGGTCAAGTCCTGGATCTGCTGAAGAAGGTCGACAAGATGGTGGCCGACCACGGAGGAGAGTTTTACTCCAACTACACCTACCTGCAGGTGGAGGAGATGCTGAAACAGAGAGAGTCAGAGCTCAGAGAGTTCTACGAGAAGAAGCTGAAGGAGGAAATCAAAGCAGTGAAATTAAAGTACGAGAAGAAGCTGAAGGAGGCTCAGGAGGAGAAACAGCAGGTGGAGAAGGAATGGCAGTCTGAACGGGAGGAGGTGCAGCGATATTATCTGGCTTTAGCGAGCGGAGTTCGTCAGTTTGTGGAGCAGGTGGCCAAAGATGCCTCCTTTGATAAAATCCTTAAAAGGTTCCACGAGAAGCTGAGGCTGAACTGAGCTGCTCACACTTCCTCAGCAGACTGAAGGTTCACTCTCATCCTTCATCTGTTCTGTTTAATCCATGATGGTAGTGCATCCAGGTCATGTGATCACTGTCATGGAAGCCCATGAGTGGACAGACTGACATCAGACTCCAGCAGCCAGCAGCCTGTTTTGTGTACATGTTTATGCATCTTCTCTTGTTCTTTTTCTATGTGTGATGAAAATGAACCCTCTGTTCACTTTAATGTTACACTGAGTGAGGAGCTGTAAAGAAACAGGAAGTTTATGAATCCCACAGAAACCGTGATCAACCTCGATCTTAATGACAGACTTTCAGCTGTTCATGTGCAGATGGAGAAATGATGCCATGCTCTGAATCTGTGCTAGTTTAACGTGTGGCCAAAGTGCATCGTGACCAGTGTCTCATAAGGAAATGTAGCATCTATGAACGCATCTTCATGTTTGTCTCATGATTTTGATGTATTTTGTGTAACCTGGAGAAAGTGCTTTTATATACCATACTTCACTGTCAAAGTTTGTTTAATGTCACTTTTTATTACTGACAAAATAAAAAGATGAAATTTTCCTTTTTTTTTCATCCCTCATATTTTGGCTGCGTTCACGCTGCAGGTGAAAGACTTTTCTGACCCTATGTGACCCATCTATCCGATCATGCTATGACAGTGTGAACGGCACAAATCTGATATTTTCAAATCCGACCTGGGTCACTTTCGTATGTGGTACATATCAGATGTTTTAGAAAGCGACTGCTGTTTTATTTAATGCGACTTGCAGTCAAGTCGCATTAAATCCGTCTTTTACGTCACTGACACAAGACAGACGCCAATTATCAGTGCCGGAGAAGCGCCCGAGAAGACATTGCGAACGCTTCCTGGCCATCCGGTGAAACTGCTGGGAAGACAACGTTGGAGAAACGTGAACATTTTATTTGTACTGTATAATCTGCAGATTCTGACAGAAATCTATCCTTTGAAGCACCGCTGCTCTAAAACAGCAATAAGGATCATTATTAGGTTATTTACATTATTATGTAAATAACAAAATAACAAAGCAAAAATTGGGAAACATGAAGTCCGAAGTCTTTATATAAAGGGCCATCAGTCAAACAATATAGTTTGCTCTGGGTCTAAACAGAGCGCGTTGTGTGTGACGTCTTCTTTTGTGCATGCGGGCCGCTTTGAGGGCCGTGAACCGTTCACACTACAGCACGTTTGAAGTCGCATTTTATTTGTAGTCTGAACAAGCAGACAAAAAAATCGGATTTGATCAAAAAATCGGAATTGATCATTAAGACCTGCAGAGTGAACGTAGCCTTAGTTTCATCCAAATCTCTTTGGTGCCCCCTGCTCTGACAGATCGGTGCTAGAATCAGAATGTCTTTATTGTCGTTGTCACAGGTACATCGAAATTAAAAATAGTCCCTGATCAGTGCATTATCCCTAACAATATCAAAATATAAATAAAACAAAATCAATAAATAAAGTACTTAAAGTGCTAATAGGAATAGTATTAGCAAACATTCACATACATGCCTGCATACTGACTACTCCTGGACCGGCTGGCTGAGAGGAGTTGAAGTTACAGGTAAATGTTTGTTTCTTCACAGCTTCAATAATCAGTCATCAGTACATCAGCACAGAGACAGCATCTCCATCAGTATGGAGGGTCTCAGGTGCCAAATTTAATCATCTTGTAAAATTAAAATATGACAGAAAAAGGTAAAGTATAAAATACTTTACATTCAATAGTCAACTAGTCGAAAGGAGCCAGCTGAGGCGGTTCGGGCATCTGACAAGGATGCCTCCTGGGCGCCTCCTGGGTGAGGCCCCAAAGAACCATCAAGAAATGGTTCTTTAGGGGACCTTTAATGGTTTTCCAAAGAACCTTTTTAAAAACGGTTCTTTAAAGAACCATTTTAAATCTTTCAAAATAAAAATGTATCATAAATTGAATTTGAGCAGGGTAAAATAAATACGAGCACATAGACATATTAATGGTTTATTGTCGTTTTGTAGTTACCAAAAGACAAAAAGGCATTTTAACCCTCAGCACAACATCACTACTAATACATGTCACATATTAGTGTTTTAAACAGTAATAATTAAATATATTTGCTATACTATAAATAAATATATATAAATACTACATCTATAGATAACACAACAATTAATACATGTATTGTTTAATTAACAAAACATCAGAAAGTGATAAAAACACATTAGAAATAGCAATAGCTTCATAACAGACCAATAAAGACATTGTCATCAGCAGATGTTTGCATGTTCAGTAAAAATATTTCAACAACAAGTTTATGATTAAAATGATCAATGAACTTCAGCGTTCTGTAAGGTAAGTTTCATGTTGGACTCATGGTCCTTGGTTAGTCCAGTTTAGGATAATGTCTCTGATGTATGTATCATATCAAATATATGTCATATCAAAACAACCCCACACCTGCAGTTGTTTCAGTTTTTCACAGGTGTTTCCTGTCAGCTGGTCAACCTCACTCAGGGGGACATCCATATTAGCCAACCAAATGACAAGCTCCTCCCTTTGTGCTTCAAATCCCTCCCACTCTGAGACAAGGAGCTGAGAGAGAGAAAAGAGTCAATTATAAAGAAGAGAGAAAAGTGAAACCCTCCTCAGAAGGTCTGACTCGCATACCTGCAATTGACCTGTGATGGACTCCAGTTTGGCGTTCACGTCATCCCTCGTCTGAGGACACCCTGCAGCCGAGTCTGCAGGGTGTCCTGGAAGAGCAGGGTTAATGTTCAACTCCTCCTGGTCAGGCTCTCCAGCTGGATGATCCGAGGTCTCCCCTCACGCCACTGCCTCTGAACACAGAAACACAAACTGCATCTGAAGCAGGAGGTGCAGATTTTTTGCTATTCTTTTCTAAATCCAGGCTTGATCACGTGGAGGTATTTGGAAAACTGTTTTGGCCAGTGGACGACTGTTGTCTTGCAGAAAGTTAAATCAAATGTATGTGATACACAATCAATTCACAAGAACACATTGTAAAAAATAAGTCCAGTTCTTGCCTGATTTCAAGTGAATTCTGCATCAAAACAGGGTAAAACGAGTGTTTGCAGCAAATGTGAGCACAAAGCCTCACTTTGTACAAGCCTGCTGTTACAGTTCTCCTCTATGCAGACGACTTTACTGTTTCCAAGGCACAACTTGGACCTGCTGTACAAATCTTATGGATACACACTAAATGAAACAGTAGTGTGCATGACTCCAGATTCTGACCCCTCATCCTAATAGGGTCCCAACATAGCAACAGAAATAAAGCAAATGTTGAGGCTTCAAAATACAAAGTACAATACAAATACAACTCCTGGGATATATCCCAGGATTTATTGCGGGTCATAGAGAAGATTTGTTTCTGATAACAATGGTGGTCGAAGCAGGAGAGGAAAACACTTTCAAATGTAAGTATATGAACATCTGGTGGTACAAAAGTTAAATTGTTATAGCGGTTGTGTTGTTAAGCTTTGGGCATCTGCAGAGACATGCTTCTTTTATTTAAATAACCCTAAACCAGCTTGTATGGTAGGTCCCGCGATTTTTCATGTACTGCTGCTTACATACAGCTAATTTTGATTTTTTAAATTAATCTTCATGGTGACATGTTGTGGGGAACAAAGACCAAACAGTCAATTTATTAAAATGAGGAGAAAACGATCACCTCTTCACTGGGTGCAGGATTGGGCCCCTGTGGCGTGGAGGTACAAGAATGAATCAGTTTACACATCATATTCATATGAGCGCGGTTTTATTAACCCTCATGCTGCACAGCAGCGGTCCCCAACCTTTTTAATGTCAGACAGGGAGCGGCCTTTAAGGTGTTGTGGGTAAATACAACAAAATAAATGATACGACCAGGAAAAAACGGGTCTTTGGTAAATATAATAATAAACTTGAATTAACTGTGTCATTGTGTAACTTCAGCTTCCTCCTGAAAATGCACCAACATTGAGAGTAACATCCTCCTCTCTGCCCCTTAATGCGCCCTGGTCGCTATGGTAACGTGTATTTCTTTCAAAATAAGAGCCTAACCCTAATAATAACTAATAACCCTAACCCTCTCCTTGCTCAGGGGTACCTCAGGGTAGCTGTTCAGGGGATTGGAGCCTCCGACTTTCCAATCATCCCTGCCCCGTCATTATATAGTTCATACTACTAACAGCAGCATCACATTCTTGATACCACATTACAGCCACAACACCTTGTCATAGCAACACTAACTAAACCATACACAGTAAATGTATTTACCTTCTCTAGTTCTGAACTAAATATGTTTGAGCTTGGTAGCAGTCATCCTGTTTTGTTATTTATTGTCCAACTAAATAACTCCAAAATATGTTGTATATATATAAAGGTTTTCATTGTTGGTGATATTAATGTATATTGTCCTACTAAACCAGTGGAGAAGGATGTTTTCAAACCTGCTCTATGCTTTCAACCTCTTGCAGTCTGTCACCAAACTCATTTTAAACTGACTTACTTTGATCTGACGTGGGCCGGACCAGTAAAAGTGCCCTTTCTGTTAGTGTAACAAAGTCTAACTATGCATTTAATCTGTGGGATAAATTCATATAAGAAGAATAAGAAGTGTAATTTTAAAATGATGTCTCAGTTTGTCTACACGGTAAAGAAATGCTGCTGTAGTGTCAGCATGACTGTTTGGTCCTAAACTGTAAGAAAAAGATCGATTGTAAAAGAGAGAGAGAATATATGGTATACTGGATAGTTTAAAGAAAACAGGAAGTTTTCCATTATTTATTTGTTTAACTATTGCCTAATTATTTATGTTTGACACCCCTGACTTAGAAGAATAGTATTCACGGCAAATCGCGGGCTGATGTTGCGTGCAAGTTTTTAAAGAGTTCCGTTTAAGAAGTTGTTTTATTTTGAAGGAGCTATTGTGTTTCCGGTCCTGTAGGAACACGGACCACAGTGAAGAGCGTCGCACTATCGCAGAGAGGTCTGTGTCGGACCCGTAAGATGAGCAGGTGAGTCCAACAGTGACCGGGACTGACCGGGACCAGCGCTGGTCCGGGCGGTCCTGGCGCTGCAGCTGCGGTTGTTACCGGTCCGGGTTTGTTAATGTCATACAGGTGCGCGCTGACAGGGAAACATGTAAAGTACTCAGATTCCAGAGCATAACCTGTAACCTACTGGATTACAGAGGTGGTTTAAAGTAGTTTGAACGGAGCTGCCTCCTCCAGAGAGGACAGAGTTCAGAAGGGTCTCGCCTCATATTTAGCGCTCTGAGAGTGAGGACAGCAGCAGGAAAGCTCACCTTATCTTTTCACTGCGACTGTCACCGTTTTACCTGAGGGCCCGTGTGCACCAGTTCGTCCTGTTCTGCAGGTTGATTTGAAACGGGGAGTGCAAACCAACGGCAGAGACTGCATACCTGCACGCTGAAGGCTGACTGCACGGGGAGGTGGGGGCCGCTGCTCCATAACAACTAAAATGAAGAACGAGTGCACTTATGTGTGTTTGTGCTTGAACTCACACACTCAGGTGTGACACAGGACTGTGATTATACTGCTCTTCATCACTCTGACCTCTGTGTGTCCTCAGGGGGGGGAAGAAGATGCACCGTCTGGGTCCAGGAATGGCTCAGTCTCCAGATCCTGATCTCAACATCGTCCTGATGGGACGCAGCGGAGTGGGAAAGAGCGCTTCTGGTAACACGATTTTAGGACAAGCAGCGTTTAGGTTGAGTGAAGGGTGGGGACCGGTGACGATGAGAATCCAAATGGAAAAAGGAATCATTTTAGGAAAGGTGATCCGAGTGATCGACACTCCAGGAATTGTAAGCTCAAAAGAGGAACTGAAAACCTTCTGCCAGCGTCTCCTGCGGTCCTCCACCCCTCTGCTGTTCCTGGTGCTGGTTACGACTGGTCGTTTCACGGATGAGGAAAAGGAGGCTGTGCAGGCAGCCATCACAGTCCTTGGCGATGAAGGTCTGGCAAACAGCTTCCTGCTCTTCACAGGTGGAGATGAGCTGAACGTGTCACTGCAGGATCACATCAGCCAGTCTAAGAGAAGCCCGCTCCAAGACGTCATTAAGAAGTTCGGGGACAGGTATCATCTGTTCAACAATAAAGAGCCTCAAGACGAGGGGCAAGTCAGAGAGCTGCTGAGGAAGGCTGAACGCCACAGGACCCGCGAGCTGCTGAGATTCAAAGCAGAAGGTAGGTTAGAAACAAGCCCAGGCTCTCCTCAGGTGAGGCAGGCAGACAGGTGAGAGTTCAGGTCAGTCATCCTGACCTCTGACCTGTCAGGTGGATCACTGTTAGACAGAAGCAGTGAATCTATAAGAACCGTTCACATTTAGTCCGTTCAGTTTTGGACACATCAGTGTCGTCACCTCAGTATGAGGAGTAATAATCATAACATCAGTACGAGCCCCACGTTTGCCCTCAGAGGGCGTCGTGCTCTCAGCCACGAGGCTGTCGCTGCGTCAGGCTGTCGCTGTGTGGAGTAATGAGGAGACTGATTGTGAGGCAGCAGCAGTGTGAGTGCAGACAGGCTGTTTACCTGTCACTGCTCTTCATCATGTTCCTTCTGTCTGTTCTGGTCCAGGTGTCTCCATCGTCCTGCTGGGAAACACCGCTGTGGGCAAAAGCGCTTCTGCAAACACCATCATAGGCCGAGCGGCGTTTGAGTCGAGGGCTTCCCTCAAAGCGGTGACGACAGGAATCGGAGAGGAAACGGGACAGAGGTTTGGGAAGCTGATCACAGTGATCGACACTCCGGGACTTTTAGGATCAGAGGAGCTGATTGAAAAGTACTACCTGGGCCTGCCCCACTCCTCCACACCTGTTCTGTCTCTGGTGGTGGTCAGAGTCGGTCGGTTCACCGAGGAGGACCGGCGCGCCGTGGAGACAGCGATCAGAGTCCTCGGGCCTCGGCGGTTTGAGAACAGCTACCTGCTGTTCACAGGAGGAGACGCCTTAAAGGACAAAAGTCTGCAGGACTTTGTTTCTGAAGATGAAGCAGGTCCTCTCCATCAGGTGGTGCAGAGGTTCGCAGGGAGGACTCACCTGTTCAACAATGAAGGAGGAGGACGAAAGCAGGTCAGAGAGCTGCTGCAGAAAGCAGGTAACCTTCACAGCTTCCTGTCTGCCCACAGCAGCTCATTTAAACCCTGTGATAACCTTCATATGCTTCTACACCGAGCCTGTGACAGCATGCTGCGTTCAGGGGAACTAAGACAGGAAAACCTCGAGTGTCCCAGCTTTCCTCAGGACCCTGAACGCAGCATGTATTTATCTGTTAAAGAAGTCCCAAAAATCCACATGTCACATGACCCACGTGTGTCAGCATGGATCAGCTGATCCGTGCACACATATTTAATGACTGCACGAAGGAAAAGATGATTTTAGATCCTCAGGAAGTTTGATCGGTGTGTTCAGGGCCGGATGTCCATGTCTGTAACATGTTGTGTGTTTGTGTGTAACGCAGCACATACCTGTGACATACAGATGTTAGGTTTCATCTGCACATCAAAGGAAACTCATTTATGACCTCGCTGAGCCTCATTCCTCTGAACTCTGTGCACAAACTAGAGCTGTGTGATATGACGACATGATGAAGGTAAAACATCTCTCGTTTCATATTACACACCACCATTTGTTTCGTGGTGTCACAAAATCCACTCAGTATTTTTCATGGTTTGGATGGTCACCACGGCACAGAGAATCCCAGTATGGCCAGTGAAGATGAGGCAGAACCAGGTAGCTCCAAACAGAAGCACCAGTCCAAAGTCTGACACGGCCCAGAAAACTGTACGATGCAAACGATGCAGCAAAGCGGTCTCACCTCAGACTCGCACGACCTCTGCTACCACCGACGCCAGAGTCACGTGACAGAGTGTGGAGAGAGTTCACAGAGAAGCAAACAGAGCCGGCAGGTGCTCCAGATGCACCTTAGACTCAAACGTTAGAACAGGCTTTTCCCCGCAGCACGCCACGTGATAAATACAAAGAAAATGGCGGCCGTTCCAACATTCACTTCACGCAGGTCGAGCTGATCGAGATTCACTGAATTTACAGAAAATGTAAATTTTGTGATTAATATCATTGTCGGGACGATAGATGTGTGTCGGGATGTAAGGGTTGGTCATGTCGCACAGCTCCAGCACAAACACACCCTCACATGTAATTATTCACTGAGCTGCTCCTGCCTGAAGCTCCACGTTAGCTTGGACGGGGTTTCTCTCACTTCTGCCCTCAGTCAGATTCGTCTGAAGTGACTTTTCTACCTAAAGCTCAAAGAAACCCTGAAATCTGAGCTAAGATTCACTCCAGCTCACATTTTACAGTCTGGGGGATATAATGCTGGTCACTGGTGTCGGTCACTGGTGTCACTCACTGCTCCTCTTTAGACTCGGCTGAACGCTCTGCTGTGTCTCTGCTGCTGTCCAGCAGAGGGCGCTTTAAGCTCTCAGCTCCTTCATCATGGCTGCAGTTTAACATCAGCGTGTTTCTCTTCCAGGTGATCGTCTCATGGCGTCTCTCACACTGGTGGACAGGAGAGTCATTCTGATTGGTCTGTCTAGAGGAGGGCGGAGCTCAGCAGGAAACACCATCCTGGGATCGGAGCAGTTCCCGACAGGATGTGGGTTTGAACCGGTCCCAGCTGAGGTGGTCTCTGGGTCAGCAGCAGTGGAGGGCTGTTGGATCACAGTGGTCGACACTCCAGGATTCACAGCCAGAGACTCGGATGAAGATCAGCTGAAAAAACGCCTCTGGATGATTGGACAACAGTCTAATCCAGGACCTCACGCCGTGGTGTTCGTGGTCAGGATAGGCAGGATGTCCAGGGAAGACTCTGCGCTCCTCACCGCTCTCAGAAAAATGTTTTATGATGATCATCATCATCATCGTCGTCGTCGTCATCCTAGTAACTCCTCCATGGTGCTCTTCACTCACGGAGATGAGCTGAGAGGTCGGTCCATTGATCAGATGATCCAGTCTAACAGCTGTGTGTCTGCACTGGTCTCCGTGAGTCGTGGCAGATTCTGTGTGTTTGACAATAATCAGAAAGGAAACAGAGAGCAGGTCAGAGAGTTCCTCCGTCATGTAGAGAACATCATCTCAGAGAACGGAGGAGAACACTGGAACCTACTCGTACAGCCTGCGGGAAAGAACTGGCTGAGTGAGGAAAGGGAGGAAATGGAGAGAATCCACATGTACAGGCACAGGCACTGGGACATGCACAGGCACTGGTACAGGATCACTGTACAGATCTGCTGTGGGTGTTTTTGCAGCACAGCCAGCCGTCTGGACAAACTCTTCAGAGAGCTGAATGTCTGACTGTGATTGGTGGATGTTGGAGGCGTCTGAGGAAATAAAAACCTGACTGGACTTGGTCTGCTTCCTGTTCAGGATCAGCAGTTTTCTGAAACACGATTGGCCCTCTGTACTGTAACTTTTACTCCAGTACAGTTTCATAGTACTTGTACTTTGTGTAAAACAAACATAAATACTTCAAACACTTTCCATCTGAATTGTTTGCATTAAGATCAGCTGACACATTAAAGTACAGAGACATGAATGAATCAACACGGTTATTGCCATGGTAACAGGTGTGTATCAGGCTCACATCAGTGATTTAATTTCTCCCTCACTGTGGAGGATCGTCCACCGTCAGCAAATTCAATCTAACTTTATTTAAAAAGCTTCTGTCCTGAAACAAACACGGTCACTGTGATGGGGTTTGTTTGTGACGCTTCCTCTCGTCGTCATTAGTTTCTCTGGTTATTGATCTGCAGCACAGGCTGTTAGCATGTAGCTCATCACAAACAAGAAGAAACCTGATCAGTGATCAATACCATCCAACCAGCAGGAAGTGATGTAGAGGTGAGTCGCTCTGATCCTGCAGTGGCTGACCAGCTGATCACCACAGAAGAAGAGTGAGGATGAGGACGAGCTAAAGCTCTTAGCTCAGGCACAGCTAGCCCGCTAACATACCTGTGTGTGGCGTTAAAGGTCACACAGAGAGCAGTTTAAGCACATGAACCACACACCTGTACTTACGATGCAGGTGGTGGAAAAGATTAAATAATGTTTTATAATTTTCTCCGTATTCGTGCAGATAAAATAACAAAGACGCTCACACTGTCCTGCCCTGTTCACACCTGTTTGTGACGAATCAGGAATTGTATGAATACTTTTTGTCCTCTGTTGCTTAATTTCTGACAGTATGTCAAAAAAGACATTTGACAGATGTTAGAGCTGCTCCTTTATATAATGGACTAAAGTCACAGAGAATCTGATAAATCTGTAAAGAAAGAAAAAAACAATAACAGCTGCATGGATGAAAAATATCCCAGGATAAAGGAGTGGAAAAATTACCACAGGACTACAAAACGGACAGATTTCTGTTTGAATGGTCACCAGTGATAAAAACAATGTTCTGGATTTAACAGGAAGCCAAAACAGGAGAAATCTGCTCTCTCTTTCTAGTCCCTGTCAGGACTCTTGCTGCAGCATTTTGGATCAGCTGAAGGCTTTTCAGGGAGTTTTTGGACTTCCTGATAATAATGAATTACAGTCGTCCAGCCTGGAAGTAATAAATGCATGAACTAGTTTTTCAGCATCACTCTGAGACAGGATATTTCTAACTTTAGAGATGTTGCACAAATGGAAGAAAGCAGTCTTACATATTTGTTTAATATGTGCGTTGAAGGACATGTCCTGGTCAAACATGACTCCAAGGTTCCTCACAGTGTTACTGGAGGCCAAGGTAATGCCATCCAGAGTAAGAATCTGCTTAGATACCATATTTCTAAGCTTTTCAGGGCCGAGTACAATAACCTCAGTTTGATCTGAATTAAGAAGCAGAAAGTTAGCGGCCATCCAGGTCTTTATGTCTTTAAGACATTCCTGCAGTTGAACTCATTGGTGTGTGTTATCTGGCTTCATGCACAGATAGAGCTGGTTTCAGTTCACTTTGTCACAGGAGACTTTCCACAGACACACAGAGAGAAACTCAAATGACAGCAGAAACGTGTGTGTGTGTTCTCAGGTCATGGATCCAGATCTCACCATCGTCCTCCTCGGTAGAACCGGAGTGGGTCAAAGTGCTTCAGCGAACACTATTTTAGGACGAGCAGCGTTCGAGTCAAAGACTTCCTTCAAAGCGGTGACGACAGGAATCAGCGAGGAAACGGGACGAGTGTTTGGGAAGCTGTGGTGGACACGCCGGGAGTTTAAGGTTGGGGTATCAGCTGAGAAAGCTCTGTGTGGACGTCCTTTGGTTCCTCAGACCTTGCCTGTTCCTGCTGGTGCTGAGCGTCGGTCGGTGGGGTTTATATCAGAAAAGCTGTAAAATAATAAAATCCTGTGAAAGTTCCTAAATGTTTGGCCTCATTTACATTTTCCAAAGATGTCCAGTGGGCCGGGTGGGGGTCTTTGACAAGCCAGTTGTGGCCCCCAGGCCTGATGTTGGACACCCCTGTGCAGACCAAAGATCACTCAGTGCTGAGAGCAGCTGCTGCTCCATCAGCAGGAAGCTCTGACATCAGCTCTCACAATAAAAAACATTATTATAACGGATGTTCGTACAACATATTATCATGTTATTACAATATTGTAATAACATGATAATATGTACAAACATGAAACCATATGTTAGAACGATAAAGGTTTCATGTTATAATGTGATACAGCTCTATGCTTCCGTAACAGTCCACTTACTAACACTTTTGTTTTTACGACTCAAGCTTCATGGAGTTCATGTTACTGTTCTGAGTGTAAGTGCAGCTTCACCAGCAGGTGGAGCCACTGCTTCAGACAAACTTGAATATTGTTGTTTAAAAAGTAATAAACACTGTTTTAGGGAGCACTTTGATGAGGTTAATAACTAAAAAACCATGCAGCGCTTGTGACATTTGCATTTCTTCAACCAATCAAAATCTTTCATCAATATAAAAATGCCTCACAGACCCAAACAAAGTCAGGTCCCTGATCCGCACAGGTTCAGGTTTTTGGGGTCCTCACAAGGATAGAAGAACAAGTTCATGTGTTTGTGTCTGTGTGGGTCAGCTGTTGTCCCGTACTGTTGGTGTGAAACCAGATCCAGGACCTTCAGAAAGCTTGGAGGGGAAGGACCGTGCTGCACACGGCAGTCAGAGGGAGGAGATAATGACGGAGTGGAGGAGTGTCTGTCCGAGCTCAGTCTGCTCAGCAGTTAGTCTCAGTGTGTCTGCCTCACAGAGAGCCTCACTGTCAGCATGGAGGAGCGTCGCTGTGGATTATTGATCATCACCTTTCTGCTGCACGTCCACTGTTTGCACTCAGTTTACATCACCCAGAGCACAGGTGAGACTCTCCTCTAATACTTCTCATGCTGCAATACTGACATTGCAGTACTGTTGATTCTATCTGCACACCAGTTACACAGCAGCTGCACTGATGCAGTAACACTCCTGCTCTTCTTCTGTGGTGGTTTCCATTCAGTGCTCTGCGTGCTGACCTTTGAACTGTGCAGTCAAGGTCAAAGTCAAACAGTCCATCAGCACACTGACCAATCACAGAGCGGCTCTCGGTGTGAGGCCCCTCCTCTGCACGTTTTCCCAGTAAATCTCAGTGTTTACGTGTTTCAGACGTTTGGGGAATGTGAGCCATCCAGATCATATTTCATCAAATCCTCACTGTGTGTGTGTTTGTGCTCACATTCCTGCTACATGAGGACCGAGCCTTTACACATCACAGTGGGGACACTTCTACAAATTGGGGACCTTCACATGCAGTGAGGTTCAGGAGTGAAGTGTTATTTGAGTCCTCATGAGGACACTCAGTGAGTGTGTGTGTGTGTGTGTGTGTGTGTGTGTGTGTGTGTGTGTGTGTGTGTGTGTGTGTGTGTGTGTGTGTGTGAGACCTCCATGACCTCAGACAGAGCCCACTCATCCTTCCTCTTCATCAGTGTAGGTACAGCTCACAGACAAACAAAGGTTCGTCTTTCTATACGTGAGGACCCTCGTCCTGCTCTCTAATCTCCACCAGGACAGAGACGTCCTCACAGAGCTGCTCTCAGAGTAAGACTGTGTCCAGCCTGAGCTGATGTAATCCTGTAGAAACTGTCCTGTGTGGGAGGATCAGAGGTTTTAGTGTTTATTTATTTATTATAACATCTGGATGAAACAGCTGGAGTCGTGTTATAAATGATTAGTAATGTCTTTGAAGTAAAACACAGAAACCACAGTCAGCTTTGTACCTGCCCACTGGTTTCATGATCACCATTCAATAATCCTCTGATAACAAAAATTTAAAATATATTTTATTTAAAATGTCTTTGTCTGACTATGTTAAAGACGTGGCCGTGTAAAAAGAAAACACAGCACAGAAGTGTTTCAGGTTATAAACTCATCTACACGCTCTGTGAGAGGTGTCCAGTCAGAGTCCAACCACAGGATGCTCTCAGTCTTTGGCTCCGCCTCCTCATATGCTCTGTTGGTACAGTGACCTAACAGGAGCCATGTTATCGGTCACATGATGTCATTAGAAAGGCTCCAACAGCATAAACACGTCTAGAGGCCCAGCTCAGGTGAAGCTAGAAGACCACCTGTCAGAGGCCACGCCCCCAATGATGCAAACATTAAGCCTTAATCAAATCTAAACAGGTTTGAATTATCACTAGAGACTCCAAACATGTTTATTTTAATATGGGAGTCTATGGGACTGACTCAGTGCTGCTCCTGCTGGACGTCAGAGGAACTGCAGGTGTGAGGTTCAGGTGTTGTTGGTCTGAATGTTCAACAGTAACGTGTTTGTTTAAATAACTGAAGGTTTTATTGTCTTCAGTCCTGAAACAGACGCTGCAGGAGTGACTGACTCTTCTTCTTCTTCTGTAGATTCTCTCCATCAGGTTCTGTCGGAGTTCGCCATCATTCGTCCAATCAGGACAGACTCAGAGGGGCGCTTCCTGTCAGGTTCCATCTCAGCTCGCCAGCTACATCGCAGGAAAAGACACGCCCCCTCACCAGAGGACACACCCACTGACTTTAAAGACATACATAAGGGCACACCCTTTTCACAACAGGCTCCGCCCAGTCACGGTTGGTGGGGGCAGAGTCACATGACAGAGGAGGCGGAGCTTTTCTATAATGTGACTGCCTTCGGGAAGGAATTGCACCTACACCTGCATCCCAACTCTCGCCTCGTCGCCCCCACCGCCACCATGGAGTGGGAGGAGTCAGGACAGCACCACTCTCAGCCAATAGAAGACACCGGCTGCTTCTACACGGGAACTGTGTCCAACATGGAGGGTACGTCAGTCGCCATCAGCAACTGTGATGGACTGGTATGTATCACATGACCCAATCGTCTTACAGCTGTTTGATCAAAGCAAAGGTTCCCAATCTCCAGGTCGTGGACCAATCCTGGGTCATGTGAACTTAGTCACAGGGTCCCATGTAATCAGTGCCTGAAGTTCCTGTGAAGAAACTCTAACACGGCTCCTGCACTGTGACTTAAGTGAGCGGTAGTGTCAGAGCTGCGGGAGGGTCCACAGGTCACTGAGCATCCTCAGCTGACCTGCCAACACCATCACCAGGGTGGAGTTAACGGCGTGACCTCCACCCTGACGAGTTCAGAGGAGATGGGACTGTGGACATCCTCCTCGTGTCTCCGAGGAGCTGAAACAAAGTCAATGATCGGCTCGTTCAGTGATCACATTCACAGATGTTTCTCCTGACACCATCCTTCAGCTCTCTGCGGGTTTCTTGTTTTCGCTAACATTTAGCTAACGTTTAGCTATCGCCTGGTCGTTATGCCGTAGAGAATCATCAGCACAGCAGGCTGTAGACATGCAGGTGGTTCTTTCTACAGCTCACTCTAAAGAAACAGATTTATTTAATTATCCCACAGAAACTCACTTCAGCACCAGTAGAAAAGAAATAGAAAAAAATAGAAAAAGTAAATGAGTGAATAGCTTCAGCAGTGTATCAAACAGCTTCTCGGGTGTGTTCTTTCTACAGCTCTTCTGCAGTAAAGGTTTGAACGTGTTTGTGGCGTTCTGTTGTGCGGACAGCGCTCGCCTCACCGTCACCGCTGTCTAAGTCAGACGCTCACGTCCTGTTCATCACGGTCCTCTGATGCTGACGGTGGTGAGCTGAGCGAGGCGTGTTCTCAGTCATGGACTGCTGTTACTAAAGTGCTCTGTGACTCAGGCTTTCATGAATAAATATCACACGATTGTTAAACAGTGATGAGACTCGTCAGCGTGGCGATGGAGCAGTGCTTCAGGTGTTGTAGCTACACGCACACTAAAGCCCGCCCACAGGAACGTCTGCAGGACTTTAATGAGCAAATCAGGCGACCGTCTCAGGTTTCAGTCAAACATGAACATCTGTCACTAACCTGAGACATCACATGAGCCAAAGCATCAGGCGTTTCGTGGGTGACATCAACCAGTGGCTCACCTGAGTCACCTAACAGGCTTCTGTGATCCCACCTGTCAGGTGACTCGAGACATGGACAGGTAAAACACAGACATTGGTTTCAAAGTGACTGTAGGGAGGAAACATATCAGCCCCAGAGGAACGTGTCCCCGAGTCAGGCAGGAGAGTTTTATTTCTTTTGTCCTCTCAGAGACGATTTAAGGATGTAACATCGTCATCGTCATCATCGTCGTTGTCCTGAGCGAGGAAGCTGCAGCTGCTGATGGATGCAGATGTTTCCACAGCTGTCGATGTGTGTGGAGCCTCCTGATTTTCCACATATTGCAGCTGAAAGCTTCAGTTTGAGGCAGGAGGAGCGTCTGATCCAAACATCTAAAAAAAGATTTTAAACAATAAAAGTCACGAATGTGGCTCACAAAATTTTCAAAATAAAAGCTTTTAAGTTCAGCAGGGAGTCAGACAGAAACAGAGAGGACGCTGTAAAACGTGGCGCGCTGAGACCTTCGCTTCGTACAGCGTGGGCCGAGTCACTGAGTGAAGCCAGATGTGGAGGACAGATGTGAGGCGTAGGAGGAGGAATGAGGAAGCTGCAGGGAACAAACTGCAGACTCATCGAGGTGGACACAATAACAGGAACACCTCAGCACTGAAGCTCTGATGGAGTTTACTGCAGGAGCAGTGCATGATGGGAAAAGTCTTACTCGGTTTATGATTTTATATTTCCAGCTCCGGCATGTTTACTGCTGACTCAGAGCACGACTGAGGCTTTAGAGCTGACGCTTCTCACTCAGAGCTGCTAATGATGATGGATGCACAGACCCACAGATCCACAGACCCACCCTGCTAAACATTGGACGTCTGATAGACGTGCAGATCAGACCTTTTGGGTGCTGTTAATAACCCCTTGAAGTGCTTTCCTCTGAGCCTATCCCAGCTGTCATAGGGCGAGAGGCGGGGTACACCCTGGACAGAGAGACAGAGAGACAGACAACCATTTGCGCCCACATTCACACCTATGGGCAATTTGGATTAATCAGTTAACCTGTTAACCTGTCCCCACTAGTTAGTGGGGACAGGTTAACTGATTAATTGTCTTTAGATGGTGGGAGGAAGCCGGAGTACCCGGAGGGAACCCACGCAAACACGGGGAGAACATGCAAACTCCACACAGAAAGACCTGATGGTGGAACTGAACTCAGGACCTTCTTGCTGTGCAGCAACAGTGCTAACCACCGTGCTGCCCCTGAAACTGTGTCACTTACTGAAATGTGCTGAAATATTAAAAATGTTTAAATCCTTGTTGAATGTTAAATATTAAGGGTTAGTATTCAGAAAATGTTGGAATTTCTTTTAAAAGGAGTACGACGTGTTTAATAAATGTAAACGAGTGTTGGCATTATATTTATCAGCGCTGTGTGGAGCAGGCAAAATCTGGACTCTAACTCCAACCTGAGCTTTACTGCTGGAATCCAAGCAAAACAAAACTGGGAGACGGGAAACAAACAAACTGATAGAGAAAGAGAGACATCACAACACAGGACATAAAGACACACACGGGAACAACCACAGGAGGGAACACATCTGAACATGACGGACACCAGACACGAGACTATCAAAGTAAAACAGGAAGTACTGGGAGAACACACAGAGACACAGGCTGACCAAACCAGGAGCAGAGGGAGGAGAGAGAGGGTGAGGGGCGAGATAGGGCGAGGGAGACTGTGAAACAGAAAACTTGGCAACATGAAGACGAACCTGACTTACCCGGGGAAACGCTGAGGGACGGACAGAGACATGAAGAGGACCAAAGACTAAGGAAACAACCTGAACTAGGAATAATGAAATAACTCCAGAGTGTACTAGGAAATATAAACACAGAGAACATGATGATAAATAAACAAGAGTCCGAATCACCATAAACACAAACCCTGGGTCAGCGAGCGGGTAAACCTGACAATCTATCTTTATCCTGTTTTATTGTGAAAAGCTTTGTAAGAGGAAGTTTGCGGTGGTCTGTATGAACCGGACTATCTGCTCGGTCTTTGTTGATGCTCACATTTTGAAACTGTCTGTGACAGTTCTGTGACACATCCACAGAGCAGCTGCTCACTGTTTTAGCTAAAGAGCTCGCGCCATCTTGGAGACGTCCAATGATCTCTCTGTAGTCCTTCACACATGATGTTTCTCTACAGCAAGCCTATTCAAATGGCGGCCCGCGGGCCAGATGTGGCCCAGAAGCAACCTGCGAGTGGCCCTGCCTGTGGTCCTGGCAGAAACACAGAGAAAACGCAAAAAATTAATTCATTAATTTTTAAAAATTTAATTCATTAATTTTTAAAAAATTAAAAAATTAAAAATTCCTACAGCGTAGTGTAGACTTTGAATGCAACACTCCTAGTAGCCTAGCAATATTTAACCCACAATGCACCGAGATGTAAACATATTAAACAATCATCGTAATATATGATGCGACGACAGCATGTCTTTCTCACTCCAAAAGCGCAAAATTGACAATGAACCCTGCCTGGACTGACAAATACTTATTCATTTTACCGCCAAATCCAAATGCCAAACCAATGTGTTTAATTTGCAGTGAGTGTGTTTGCTGTACTTACGAAGGCACCACAATGACAAACACCAGATTTTCTACACAAACTTTCCAGAGCAATCTCAGGAGACTTAGACTTAGTTCCTCCTACGCTGGGCGGCGCATCGGGCAGCTAGTGATCTCCATCGATGTCAGTCAGCAGCGACTGCTTCAGCTTCGTCCCAGGCAATGTTGACAGTTCTCAGATCGTCCATGAATGTTCGACGCCATGTGGTCTTTGGTCGGCCTTGCTTTCGCTTGCCAGTGTGTGGACGCCATGTCATGGCAATCTTAGCTGGGCGATGAGGGGGTAGGCGTAAAATATGGCCCGCAAAGCGGAAGTGCCTTTCTGCAACAACATCGGCTAATGGGCGGGTGCCTGCTCTTCGTAGGACCTCCTCATTTGTTATTCGGTCCCGGTAGGAAATTCTCAGGATTCGCTGCAGGACACGTTGTTGAAGCACGTTCAGGTGTTGAATAATTGCACTTGTTGAGCGCCAGGTTTCACTAGCGTAAAGTGCAGTAGGGAAGATGATAGAGTTCAGTAGTCTGATCTTGACCCTTACATTCAGGGATGTCGAGTTCCAAATAGGTTGGAGACGTCGCAGGACACCAACTGCCTTCCCTACTCTGGCGTCGACATCCCAATCAGAGACCCCGTCATTCGAGATGATGCTGCCAAGATATGTAAAATTCTCCACTTCTTCAGCACGTTGTTGGTTGATCATGACAGGAATGCGGGCACGTGCATAGTCAACTCGGAGTACCTTGGTTTTTTTGGCGCTGATTCTTAATCCAACTTTCGTCGCCCCCCTCTTCAGGGCTGCGGTCAACTTTTGGAGGTCTTCCTGAGTTGAGCCCAGCAGGGCGATGTCATCTGCGAAGTCCAAGTCAGTGAGATTACACGCTTCGTGCCAGGGCACACCGATGCCAGCTTGGTCAACTGATCGTCGCATGATGAAGTCAATTACCAACAGGAAGAGGAAAGGGGATAGCACGCATCCTTGTCGCACGCCAGTATTGATCTCGAAGAAATCTGTGCAGCCGTCATCCGTCCGGACACAGGAGAGGGCTGCAAAAGTACAGTTTAACTGCGAGTTTAATAATCTTACAACCGGAGTTGTACTACCATGGTGAGGGTCCTGTACAGTCCAAGAGAGAGCGGCAGCAGCTTCCCTTCGTGTTTGCTTCTTGGCGAAGAAGAAAAGGCCTTTCACAGATTCTGAAACAGTGAAATACTGCATGCTGGCCGTGGTGGATGCGGTGAAAAGTGATGAAAAAATTAAAGTAAGTGTGACATATGCTATAAAAAACGTACCCCTGTCAGACAGTTCGTAGAGTTGAAGTTCTGGCGTCAGACGAGTTTGAAATGCTGTTAGATGACCTGAGGAAAACTGATGTAATATCTATAGCAGGAGATGGGTTCACAGACAGAACTGTTAATGCACAGTTGTGCATATATGTCCGTTTTTTTGGATGGGAAATTGCTCGGCTTGCTACCGTTAGAGCAGGGCTCTAGACTAACTTTTTGCCATGGGCGTACCGGTACGCCTAACTTTAAAAAGTTAGGCCTACCGCCACAAAAGTTAGGCGCACACAAATTTTCTAATAATTGATATAATATAATGTGTTTTTCTGGATACACTGTGCTTTTCCAGCATTGAAAGACTGATGACACCGCGTCAGAGCACTGGCTATGAATTTCAGAAGGATCAGGCCTTAACAGAAAAGTTAGCAATAGTTCTTTTCCTATTACAGCTACATCCACGTCTGTCGTGCCCAGGCTGCTCACTAGGGCTGGGTATCATCACTGATTTCTATAATCCACTCGATTCTGGTTTTCAAAGTCCCGATTCGATTCAACTTAGCCTCAGACAGTCAGAAATATTATAATTCTGATCATTTATCAGCACTGACTTCATCAGAATTGTGAATATCACAGCAGATGCCTTTGTGTGAAAGTAACTGAGAATAAAACAGAAAAACATGAAGGAGATTTTCCTGGTCTGGCTTTTTATAGCAGATAACCTTAAAAATATTCTACAATGTTCTGCATATAAAGTTTAAATTTCTTCAGTATTGAACAACAGAAAAAATAGGCTTTCTTGTCCGAGGTCATTTAAGTGAAAAAAAGAAAAAGAAAAAAAAAAGACAGCAGCCACAGCGCTGTAAACAACGGTAGACTGGTGGGTAATAAGCAAATAAATAATACAGAAAACAGAGATTGGAGACGGAAACTGTTCTTGAAGTACAGAGAGAGAGAGAGAGAGAGCTAGCTGTGCATGAAGTGTGATTTTAATAGTCGTGGAAGCAAAACAGCAAAATTCATGACGACATTGATCAAATGTGAAGCGCAGTTTGCTGCTTCTTTTGCTGCTGGCTCGGTGGATTTTGGTTGGAGAGACAAAACCTGCAGCTCAGAATCAGCGCAAAAAGACGTAATCACAGCGCGGACCGGACGCATCAGGATCGCTGAGCTCCGACAGCGTGTCCGTCTGCGGGCCGTCGGGTGAGAAAGCCGAGAAAGACGAAGCTGATTCTGATGCGTCGGTCTGTGTTTACGTCTTTGTGTGGAGTCCGTGTACCTGCTCTCATCTGCTGTTTGGTTGTTGTTGAAATGGTTTTGTGAGCTTTAATCTGAGAATCTGGTGTTTCTGGCAAAACACAGTTATATTTAAAAGTCAGGATTTAATGAATTGATATCGCTTTATTCAAGCTACTCACCTCCCACTTCCACCTGCACTTTCAACTGGACCACGGCCAATCAGAGAGGTCCCGCCCCTGACTATCTCTGATTGGTTTAGTCCAATTAAAGTATTAAAGTTAGGGGCAAAATGTGTGTCTGTTGCTGACCACAGGGAAGGTTGCAGATTTTATTTTTTTTGCTACCCGAACAGTTGGTCGCACAGGTGCAACCAAATATTTTTTTTAGTCGCACCACTGAAAGATTTGGTCACAAATGCGACCAAATTGGTCGCACTCTAGAGCCCTGCGTTAGAGGGACACACAGCTGGCAAAATAATGTTTGAGAAGATTTCAGCTCTTTTTGAGGAAAATGGATATGAAGCGTGTCTGTATACTTGTGACGGATGGGATTCCATCCATGGCAGGAAAAGTGAGTGGTCAGCAAAATAATTATTTTAATTTGAAAGGGAATTATCAAAATGGTTTTTTTTAATATTATTATTTGAAATGTGCAAAAAAATAGTTTAGTTATAGCTCCCTTTTTAAATGGACCTTTTGGTGTGCATTTGTGAGAGGTCACCAGATTTACAGGGGGAAAAGGAATAAAAAAAATTACTTGTTTTTCAATACAGTTGTGTGGGTTTGAAATTGATCATGATCTGCTGCTTACTGGCTGCAAAAAAAATATCTGGCCCAGATAAATTCCTTGGTTTGAAAATCTGGACCAACTAACTTCTTAGTTGAATAGCCATGCTCTACAGCAACAAGTCCTCCTCCCTCTGGAAACACAGGACTACAGTTCCTGCACACGTAGAAGCACGACGTCTACAATGAGTCTAAGTTTTTCGTTGAAAAGACATCCACCACGACCACATCTGGACTCTAAATAGGCCGCACACTGAGGTCATAGAGACGACGCTAGACGTCAAAAATAAGACGTCACCTGGCGTTACAAAAACACACCTTCAGTGGACCAAACCTGACGAATAAAAGACGTGACTGTGCAGTGGGACAGACCCACGGAGTCTTTATCTGATGGACATGTTCTTACTTTCTCATAAGCACAGCTGTGAGCTCTGCTCTTCAGTTTTATCATCTGATTCCTCCAGATGTCTGTGAAGGTAGAGGATCATCAGGGGTCCTTTTGTCCCCCTTTGAGGGGGGGGGAAACTCCCACAGGGCTTAAATCTGGGACTCTCCACCATTTGACCCAAGAACTGAAGAAGCTTCTCGGATGAGAGGTGAAACGTCTTCAAGCAACTTAAAGAAGTCCAGACGCTTTTCTTTCCAAGCTCCTTTGAGTCCTCCAGGTGTTCCTTCCTGGCACTTGTTGGCTCACCTGTTTCATTCCAGGTGTTTAATTGGTTTTACTGGTATCACCTGTTCCTCTTCAGGTGTTTCCTTTGGGCAAGGCAGTAATCTGACCCTCACTGTTCACTGCATCGGTCTCTGGAACAATGATACTGTAAAAACGCTGAAGTATTGCTGACTGATGCTGTAATAATAATCGTTCAGACTGATTAATGCTGGCTCAGATTAACGCTCTCGTGTCTCCCAGGCAGGGATGGTCCGCACCGGCGAGGAGGAGTTTTTCATCGAGCCGCTGGATCGATGGAGGCTGGGAGGAGCAGGAGGAGGAGAGGAAGAGGAGGTGGAGGGGCGGCGGCACATCATTTATCGCTCCTCGGCCGTGAAGAAGAACTCAGCTGTCAATCACACAGCTGATGACTTCGTCCAAGGTGAGACTCAGACTGAAACGCTGCATTTCAGATTAGCTGACGCTTAAAAGCGTTCCTCGCTTCATGCTCGCTCCTCTTCTGCAGAGCGAGCTCGATGCTGACGCACACTGCTGTCGTTCTGTGGCAAAAACAAAACAGATAAAAACAGAGTCCCACAGAGAAGCAGGCAAACACTCAGGTCTGTTTCCATGCCACGCCCCCGTGTGATTAACACACAAACAGCCTGTTATGTGTTTGATGTTTGAAGTGACGTAAAATGAAGTCTGTTAAACCAAAAGTGTCATGATCCTGGGTTTTATAGTCAGTGTTTTCTGTTTGATGTTGTAGTTGTCAGGTTGGATCTTTGCCTGCATATGTTTTGATCTTGTTCGTCTTTCCTGGCGTCTGGTCTCTCCCATGTCTGGTTTCTGTGTTATCTCTTGTGTGTAGTCAGCTTTGTCTCTATTGTTACTTTGGCCTCTCAAGTACATGTGTATCGGTGTGTTTGTCACTTCCTGTTTTATTTTGACAGTCACTTGTCCTGTGTGCATCATGTTCAATTAGATCAGACCTTCCCAAAGTGTGGAGCCCGCCCCCTCGGGGGGGCACAGAGCCATGGCAGGGGGGGCGCGGTATGAGAAGGCAAAAAAAGAAAAAGCAAGGCTTGGACACTGCTAGCACGGCGCCTCCACAAACGCAAAGCAGGACATGAAGCATCGCTGAATATGTTTCCAAACCAACTTCATTCTAAGCCAAAGACTAGAAAACATGGTGAAGCAAATCTTCCCTTTGGCTTCACCTGCACAGGTGCAGAGGTAGGTCTCCCTGCAGGGTTGATTTTCCCTGCGTCGGGAGCAGCGCTGGGCTGTTTAAATCACGGACAAACAGGATCCCACATTCTTGATTTTTAGTTCACAAACACTTGTTGCAATGACTAACTACTGCTGACATGTTGGAGATGTTTGCTCTTTATACAGTAAAGTTACAGCAGGATACAAATAACATCAGGCTGATCCTGCCACGATTTGTTCCCCCGGCAAATCACAGACTAACAGGATCCCACAGCTGTTTATGTTTTTGAACACATTTTGCATTTTTTGAAAAGTGTATTGACAGCAATGTTGAACATTGTTACACAGGAAAAAACAACTACACGTAAAATAATCACACCGTGATGCCTCTGCCTTTGTAAATGGAGGGGCAGTAACTGCGTGTAAAACCTGCAGATAGAGACAAAATAGAAAACAAAATAAGATAGAGACAGAATCTGCAATTCATCTCATGTAAACAATAACGTGGCGCACAGCGTGACGTGAAAAAAGGCACATACCTTTTGCGTGACGCAAAAAAGGTAAACATTTTTCTTGTAAAACAAAGGGGGGGGGGCTAGCAAAAAAGT